TCTTAACCACTGAGCCATCTCTCCAGCCCCTATTATTATTATTATTATTATTATTATTATTATTATTATTATTGATTTTCGAGACAGGGTTTCTCTGTAGTTTTTTGGTGCCTGTCCTGGAACTAGCTCTTGTAGACCAGGCTGGCCTCGAACTCACAAAGATCCTCCTGCCTCTGCCTCCCGAGTGCTGGGATTAAAGGCGTGCGCCACCACTGGCCAGCATTTGCTGTTTATTATTGAAGGAAGTCAGGATAGGAACTCAAACAAGGCAGGATCCTGGAGGCAGGAGCTGATGCAGAGGCTATAGCGGGGTGCTGCTTACTGGCTTGCTCAGCCAGCTTTCCTATAGAACCCAGGGATTGCCCCACCCACAAGGGGGCTGGGTCCTCCCCCATTGATCATTAATTGAGAAAATGCCTTACAAAGCTGAATCTCAAGGAGGCATTTCCTCAACGGAGGCTCCTTCTTCTGGTATGTCTAGTTTATGTCAAGTGGACACACAACACCAGCAGTCCCCGACCCCTAGTCAATTCACAAACACATCACTCTTAAGCCACAGCCCTTCCTTTCTCATTCATCCCCAAGATCCAATTTTATATAAAAATATAAATAACTTTAAAAGTCCCATCGCAGCACTGCCTGCAGGATGGGCAAGGGGAAGAGGCTGCGAAGCGAGGCTGTGAGAAACGAGGCCAGCAGCCTTTGCAGACCTGCGCCCATTAAGCAGCGGACGTGAAACAGAACGCTAACCCTCGTCTCTGGAGCACCTCGACCGCGCACGGATGCTACCGACTACGTCATTGCCCGGCTCCCGCCTGGGCGCCGCCATGATGCTGTACGGAAACTCACAAGTCTCCTTCCCGAGCCTAATCGCTCATTCTCTCGCGCCTCCGCTAGAAGCCTCGGGAGGGCGCGGCCGTCCGCCACTGCGCTTGTCCGGTGCTCGAGGCCCCGCCCCGCGCCCATGGGCGCCGCCATGTTGGGGGTCCTCGCTGGGGACACGTAGTCGTCCGCGTAAGATGCCGGCTCGCGCGCGCCTCTGCCGCCAAGATGGCGTCCATGCGGGAGAGCGACACGGGCCTGTGGCTGCACAACAAGCTGGGCGCCACGGACGAGCTGTGGGCGCCGCCCAGCATCGCGTCCCTGCTCACCGCCGCGGTCATCGATAACATACGCCTCTGCTTCCACCGCCTCTCCTCGGCTGTGAAACTCAAGCTGCTCCTCGGGACGCTGCATCTTCCGCGCCGCACGGTGGACGAGGTGAGGGCGCGGGCCGGAGCGCAGCTCCCGCCTCCAGCCGGCACCGGCGCCTTGCCTTTCCTTGTTCCCGCTGGCCGCGCGCATCTCCGGGTGGGCGCCGCCGGGCCTCCCCACCCGGCCCGACGCCGTAGTGCCTTCCCCCGCTGGACGCTGTCTGCGGGCGGGGTTCGTGGACCCAAGGTCCGAACCGCCCTCAGCCGAGTCGGCCCGGAGCGGAGCTCTGGACGCCGCAGTTCCGAAGCTACCCCTTGGTTTGGGGCTCTTAGTGTAACTTTTCAAGGGACTGCTGACCTTAATTTTGTTGCTTTTGCTTCACGGAGTGTCAGTCTGCTTAGCTTCTTCTAGTCTGTCGTCTCTTTCAGTGCATTCTTACTCCACGTTGCATCTCTGTGCAAAATATACGATGCCTTGCAAACATATACACAAATGATATGTGTCCAGGGTGGCCTCGTACTTGGTATCCTCCTGCATCACTATTTGGAGGGCTGGGATTGTAGAGCTGGGCCACCACATCGAAGCACCCTAGTTTTTAAACATTTCTGGTTACTGTTCTATCATTAAGGTTGGTTTTGGTCTTTGTTGCGCCATAAACCAAAGCTACGTGTTTTTTCAGTTTATCAAATACTAATCGCTAAACGACCCACTCGTTATCCCTCCATACAAGAGAACAAGGGTGGATTCTCTATAGCCCGTCCATGCTTCCTTCTCTCTTCCCCACAAGAGCAATCCCCACATCTGTCTATCTATGCAGGATTGTCGATTGTGTGTACATTCCTAGCACGAGTATTTAGTTTTGCATCATTTGAACTTAGAATGGCAACATGTTGCCATGTTCCATACAAAATTTCGGGCTTGTGTGGGTGTGTCTTCTGCCGTGAGACACCTGGACAGATCCATCCAAGTCGCTGCAGTTTGATTTCCGTGCATTATGGTCGTCCGTTTTCCGAGCACACCGCGTATGGATGATTAGGTTGTGTCTAGTGTTTTCGTTGGTGTTTTTGTTTCATGTTAACTTGTTCTGTTGTGACTGGCACCAGCTTTACATGTTCAGGTGATTGAGAGCGCGCAGTTTTCTAGACGTGGAATTGTAGGTGTAAGCAGGATTATGGCAAGCGGGCTTTTCCAAGTGATATTGTCAAATAATGCTAAAATACGTAGGACAAGTAAATGTAGATATTCCTTGATGTTTGGTTGAATATTGCCATCGCTTATTTTTCTGTTTGGCTTTCTTTTTTGTGAGTTGTTCAGGTTTTTTTTTTTTTTCATGATTGTCTATTTTTCTTGACTTGTCGCTTTGGAGGAATATTCTTTTTAATAAATGCTGGCTACTGTCTTTGTTTGGTGACATGCTACAGCTGTTTCCCAGCTGTGGCTTAGCTTTTGGGATGAAGCTCTTGGTTCTTAGCCAATTGGTGATTGTCTCTCCTTCCCTGTGGTCTTGTTAGCAATGTGCTGTGAACCTCCTCCTCTCATGGACCAGGACGGGTGCTTTGTGGAGCTGAGAGTTCTGCAGTGTGGTTATGGAAAGGTTCAGCACCACCTGCAGACTGTCTCTGCTGTATTGTTGCTTCTGCTGTGGGTGTTTGAGCTTTTTTTTTTTTTTAAAGTCATTTCTATGTTGTGCTAATAATGTGTTAGCTACTTACTGTCACTTTATTGTTAGTGTGTCTTGATGTGTGACATGTTTTTAACAAAATCTCAATTGTTCAATTTTATCAATAAAGAGTCTGGAGCCAGATGCTGGGGTGAAAGCCTCCTAGCCCAGAGAGGCGGAGAAAGCTGACCTTCCTCCTCATCTGACATCCCAGAAGCCTTTCTCCAAGCCCTCTCAAAATCTCTCTTCCAACTGAATGCCCCTCCCTCCTATTTCCTGTGCCTCTCTGTCTGTCCTCCTGACTCTTTCTTACTCTCTATGGTTTCTTTTTCTTTTTTTTCGATTTTTTTTTAATTTATTGATTTTGATTGAGCTCTACATTTTTCTCTGCTTCCCTCCCCACTTCAAACCTCCCCCAAGGTCCACATGCTCCCAGTTTACTCAGGAGATCTTGCCTTTTTCTACTTTCTACTTCCCATGTAGATTATATCTATTTAAGTCTCTCTTAGTGTCCTCATTGTTGTCTAAGTTCTCTGGGATTATGGTTTGTAGGCTGGCTTTCTTTGCCTTATGTTTAAAAACCACTTATGAGTGAGTATATGTGATAATTGTCTTTCTGTGTCTGGGTCCTCACTCAAAATAATGTTCTCTAGCTCCATCCATTTTCCTGCAAAATTCAAGATGTCGTTATTTTTTTCTGCTGTGTAGTACTCCATTGTATAAATTTACCACATTTTCCTAATCCAGATTCTTCAACAGAGGGGCATTTAGGTTGTTTCCAGGTTTTGGCTATGACAAACAAAGCTGCATTGAACATAACTGAGCACATGTCCTTGTGGCACGATTGAGCATCCTTTGGATATATACCCCAAAGTGGTATTACTGGGTCTTGAGGAAGGCTGTTTCCTAATTTTCTGAGAAATCGCCACACTGACATGCAAAGGGATTGTACCAGCTTGCATTCCCACCAGTAATGCAGAAGTGTTCCCTTTTCCCCACAACCTCTCCAGCATAAGTTGTCATCAGTATTTTTTTTTTAGTATAATAAATGGTTATTTATTTAGGGGTAGATTCACAGATCACCATCCGCTGCACGAATTGGGAAACAGCAGCCGGAAGAGTGCAAACACTCTACATCAGCGTTTAAAGTATAAGAGGCCACCCCCCCAGTACATTTGTAACTGAAAGGCCTCTGGCTGAAGGCTGGCTGAAGGAGTTCCTGCAGCAGTTGGTTTTGTTTCGGTGGGTGCAACTAATTTGCTTGGGTTGGAGTTTTCCTTCTAGTACTTTCTGTAGGGCTGGATTTGTGGATAGGTAAATTTAGTTATGTCATGGAATAACTCGTTTTCTCTATCTATGGTGGTCATCAGTATTTTTGATCTTCGCCATTCTTAGAGATGTAAGATGGAATCTCAGCGTTGTTTTGATTTGCATTTCTCTGATGACTAAGGATGTTGAACATTTCCTTAAGTGTCTTTCAGCCATTTTAGATTCCTTTGTTGGGAGTTCTCTATTTTGGTCTGTATTCCATTTTCTTATTGGATTATTTGTTCTTTTGATGACCAATTTCTTGAGTTTTTTGTATATTTTAGAGATCAGACCTCTGTCTGATGTGGGGCTAGTGAAGATCTTTTCCCATTCTGTAGGCTGTTGTTTTGTCTTGTTGACCATGTCCTTTGCTTTACAGAAGCCTTTTAGTTTCAGGAGGTCCAATTTATTAATTGTTTTTCTCAGTGTCTGTGCTTATGAGGTTATATTTAGGAAGTGGTCTCCTCTGCCAAAGTGTTCAAGTATACTTCCCATTTTCTCTTCTATAAGGTTCAATTTTTCTGACTTTATGTTGAGGTCTTTGATCCATTTGAACTTGAGTTTTGTGCATGATGATAGATATGGGTCTATTTTCATTCTTCTACATGTTGATATCCAGTATGCCAGCACCATTTGCTAAATAAGCTATCTTGTTTTTCCATTTGATATTTTTTTGCTTCTTTGTCAATAATCAGGAGTTTGAAGTTGTATGGATTAATATCCGGGTCTNATATTTTTTGCTTCTTTGTCAAAAATCAGGTGTTCAAAGATGTGTGGGTTGATACCCGGGTCTTCTATTCGGTTCCATTGGTCCTCCTATCTGTTCTTATGCCAGTACCAGGCTGTTTTCAGTACTGTAGCTCTGTAGTAGAGTTTGAAGTCAGGGGTTGTGATGCCTCCAGAACATATGTACAGGATTGTTTTGGCTATCTTGGGGTTTTTGCTTTTCCATAGGAAGTTGAGTACCGTTCTTTCGAGGTCTGTGAAGACTCTCTGTGGTGTCTTAATAATTCTATGTTCCCTTCCTGTCAACTGGTTGCTTGCTCTACCTCTTGACCTGTGGTTGACTTTATTTAATCCTATTTACAATATTCAAGCAGAAAGCTTGAATTAAAGGTGTGTGCTAGGGCTTAGCCGCACCACAACTAGCAACAGGTTTTTCCAGTAAATAACGCAAACTCAGGGCTCAGAGTGTGATCAAATATCCTGCAGCAGTGACTACAGGGTGAAGCCTCACCTCACCTCAGGAGTGGCTTCAGCTCTTCTTAACCCCTAGCACTTGGATCAGTCTGTCTCTTTGTGTTTACATGTTCGTTCATGTGAGCACATCTGTGAAAGTATAAGTGCATATGTGCATTTGGAGGCCAGAGTCCAGATTAGGTGTCTGCATCAGTTGCCCCACAGCATACTCCTGGGCTCTTCCTGTCTCCCTCCACCTCTTTAGTGCTGGATTATAGCTGTGTACCCACTGAGCCAGGCTCTTCTGTGGGCATGGGGATCTGAACGCAGACTCAGACTTGGCTTCGCAAGTACTCTACCAGCTGAGCCAGGCTCTCAGCTCACAGGGTAAATAGTCTTAATAGCTTAGAACTTTGCTGGGTGGTGGTGGCACAAGACTTTAATCCCAGCACTTGGGAGGCAGAGGCAGGCAGAGCTCTGAGTTTGAGACCAGCCTGGTCTATAGAGCAAGATTCAGGACAGCCAGGACTGCAAAGAGAAGCTGTATTGAAAAACACACATACACACAAACACACACACACACACATATATTAGTCTTGTAACTTAGATAGAGGTTTGGGCAGTTATTTAGAACCATCATTAAGTTCTATGATTTGCCTGTATTCATATATTTCATAATTTATGTGCTGATGATATATAGAAATACGTTAGGTAAGAAGTCTGAATAGCACCTGGGCTGAGATCGTCTTCTTTTTGTTGATGGTGGTTTTGTCTTTTGAGACAGGATCTCTCTACATAGTCATGACTATCCTGGAACTCACTCTGTAGACCAGGCCAGCCTGGAACTCCCAGAGATCCGCCTGCCTCTGCCTCCTGAGTGCTGGGATTAAAGGCAAACACCTGGCTCTGGGCGGAGATC